CTTGCTGGTAGATGGAAAAACCTTAATTAGAGCAACAAATGTAGTTAGAAAAAGTAAATAGGCTTTGGAGCACATATGCCATTCTTCAAGTCTGACACAAAAAAAGAGTTTAAAGATGTGTTTTTCATATAAAATATGTATCATTTCTAAAAGAAAAGCCAGCTGATATGTGGAGAGCAGAGAGATATTATTAAGATGGAAAGAAAGATAATGCGGTGATTGCCTCCTATAAAAAAGAAAGAGACAAGTCATTTGGAAAACCTGGAGGGAGGGGATAAGCATGTGTCATTAGGCCAATGTCTCCATTGAATTCATGATTCTATTTACTCTGGAAATCTATGAATTTTAGTTTCTAATCTTGTCTCTGGACAGTATTTCCTCCTGAAAGGTCAATTCTGAGAAATCAGGAATGGGATAATCTGTGAGTAGTACTCTGATTTTGTCCTTTTTATTTTATCTTTCCAGTCTTTCCAGTCTAGTGTTAAGGAGTTTTCGGCTTCATCTTTACAATTATTTTAAGGCACCTGCCTCACAGGATGAATTGTATTTCATTCTAGCAGATGCATGTGTAAAATTCAGGAACTTTGATGGTTCTAATGAGGTAGAAGATGTGTATTTATGACAGAGGCAGCAGAAATGGGTCTGTACTTTTAATTTTTTAAAGCAAACAGTGTCTAGATTCAGTTCATGCTCTTTTTCTCAATGTCCAAGGAAAATTAGTAGTTTTGCTCTTCAAAACCCTTCCACCAAAAAGAAACACTAGATACTCATTGTTGACTAAATATTACTTCAAAGTTGAAACATTCTACACAATGCACACAATTCAAAATATGCAGGACTTCCACATGTTCGCAACAATGTCCAAATCAAGCTTTCCCAAAATCTCATAAACAAACCTTGTATGTGTGGAAATCTTCTTGGCCAAATTGTATCTGAGAATAAATATTTGCAGTTGATTAATAAACCTTTGAAAAGTGACTTTACTGTGGTAATGCTGATAGATGGTTTACTCTAGCAGCCAAGACACTTTTGGCATAACGAAATTTGCAATCTGCTTTTTGGAAGCACCTAAGATGGTATGTCTGTGTGAGACGAGAATGAGTACATCAATTGAAAAAGTATCCTAAAAAACCTTTTAGACCTTGCACGAAAATACAGAACCCAGCATGGAAACAACTGGCTATTAACTTTAGGAGAAAAAAAAATCTGCAGTCTGTGTTCCAATTTAACGTTTTCTTATATTGACTGAAAAAGAGTGTTTTTGGAGTGAGCTTCTGAAAGAAGCTAGTTTATCTCCTCAAAACAGAAAAACTAATCAAGCATTTTGATTAATTAAAGACACTATTTATGCTACTGATGCCTCAAGCTGTAATCAATATAATCAACCTGCGAGAAGTTATCTAGAGCTTTCCTGATACCAATGCTGAATGCCAAGTATTCCCTTTGACATTGTGAGTTGCACTGTGTGAAGGTGCAGAACGGACAGCTTCCATACACATTTGAGGCAAGCTTTATCTTTAATGCTTTCAATGAAATTCTTAATTATTCTGCAAGCTATTGTCCATACCAAGATACAATAAAATATATGTGATACAATCTTGCCACATCACGGTCTTTTAAAAAAAATAGTTTCAGGAAATGCTGCATGTTGAAAGATCACAATAGCTGAACTGTGGTAGAAAGTAAAACCAGTGCTTCAGAGTCCTGCAAACAGGCAGTTTTTTAGTTTTATGGCAGCATGTTAAATTTTGCAGAAAATGGCATCCATAATAAAACAGTGATGCTTTATTAACTAGCACATGAACAGACAGAACCCCATCAAAACTATTACCACAAGGAATAATTAAAACCATCATTAGAAATCTAAAGGATCAGAGGATTCTGATTTAAATATTATGTTTGATGCTCTTATTTTTTAATAGATATTTAAGTTTTTTAGGCTATCCTAACGGCTGAAATGCGAAAATACTAAATCACACTGTAAATAGATTTTTTTTTTACGTCCTATAAACATAAGCAGACTTGCTAAACTTTACACACAAATGCAATTTCATTGCCTTAAATCTGATTACTTATGCACACCTATTTGCCTTTTGCTTTGTAAGGCAGTATGTATGTATACAAAATGTAGTCGTTTTAGCAGTGAAGAGAGGACTTCTGAAGCCTATTAACAATAATGTGTCTGTGTTATGTACAGAATGCAATCATGAGTCTTCAAATTAAAATCAAAATAAATTTTCAGGTCTTATCACTATGTCCCTCTGTAATAACTGTGAAGTCATCTTAGCCTTAAATTGTCCATTATTGCATCTGAAACACTTTAAACATTTTTTATAAAAACATGTTGTACATGTAGAAACATTTAATATTAATTTATAAATCAGTAACTGTTCAGTAGTCCTCAGCACCAGGTCTGAAAATAGTATTTCTATAAAAGAAAACTGAGTATTCAGATGTCCTACCAAAAGAGTATACAGTATATTTATACATAGAAAAGGAGGACTTCCAAGTGCACATTTTAATAACAATCTTGAAAAGTAACATAAATATACATCTATGGATGACTTTGCATGAATTAAAGTTGTGTTTTAAAACAAAATATTAGAAGTGTTTAAGGTCAATCTGGCAATATAATAATGATTAAAAAAGCAAGGCACCAGTTACATTGTATTACTTTACTAGACTGTTATTGTAGTTTCAAAATATCATTAAATCAGCACAAACCAACACTTATCATTTCCTCCACATTTTTCACAGTGAACTGCATTCTGACTATGAGTAATCTGTTAATCTGTTCTTTGCCTCATAATCCGTCAAAGTGACAGACTCATTCCATCCCTAATACATAATATCTTCATTTACAGTATGCCTTACTGGAACTTTCTTTTTTTGCTAGCATTGAGATTTGGAAAATCACAAATACATTTACAGAATGCCTTTCTCCTTGCTCTGCACCTCAGCCTCCAGCCTTCTAATAGAGGCAAAGAGGGTTCTGCTGAAACGAAATAATTTAATTTTTAGTGAATTAATAACTAAAAATATTACAAATACAAGTGAAACTTCACAATGAAGACTTGAGTCTGCTCCACTTACAATACTACATCTGTAAATGAACTGTCTTATATGAGTGCTGGATCCGGTTCAAAGACAATAAAGAAAATCTGAATTCTACTTATTAAACCAGATGTTTACATAATACAAGTTGCTGCATTAAAATTATGTACAGGACAGTCATGCTGACCAACACAAGCTGAAAGCCTGGCCTAAAAATGCTATACCATATCTATTTCACTTATTAGTGTTCAAATGACAGATTTTTGCAGATTATTAAAAAAATACACAGTCACCTACATCAGTCTAAGAACAGGTATTCCTTAATTTGAATTGTTAACAGCTTAGTAACTAGCATACTGTGCTACCTGGTCAACATTTCTTAGTTAAATATGTGAAGCTTCTATCATAGTTACTGTTAAATAGCAGCTATATTGCAATTTACTTAAAGACTAAACCTCTACTTCATTACAATGTCAACTAGATCACAGGTCTGATGCTCACTGCCAATACAAGTGACACTAGAAGAGAAGAACAGTGTTTTATCATTTAATTTAAGGAAAACATTAGCCCTATATTCTTTGTTAGCTTTGATTCATCTGTTCATTAGAATACTAGCTATATAAACTGAGAATAATGAGTTTGCAAAGGTTGTGTACCGTGTATTAACATTCCTGCATATTAATCTATCAAGTAAATTCTAATAAAGCACAGCAGATATTCATTGATCAGTGAATCAATTGAACTGAATTCCCACATTTAATAAAGTGTTCATTAAGTAAGCTTTGCTGCACTTATATATATATAACAATTATATAAACCACTCATTTTAAGAATTATATTTTAATGC